CTGAAGCAGATTATTGGAAGGACTTCTCACAGTACTAGTACCTTACATTTCTCCTCCATGTCGGACTTACTCAACGTGACCGTTACTCAGACCAACCTTCCTCTAATTGAGCAATCTCCCGCTCTCCTCAACCACCGTGGCTTGCTTCATAAGGGAGTTCACAAAAATGATGAAAAAGTTGGTTCATACATTTATTGGCCAAGTGGAATTTAAAGAAAGGCTCCCTTCCTCCCCTTCCCTTCTCAATCCACCTCCGGAATCTTCCTGGCCAACGTAATTCACTCTGCTGTACATGTGATCAATTCGGCACGGGGCAACGGAGGGCTCATTTCCAAGACTATGCGCTAAATACTTGCAGAAAAGAAAAATCTAACTTGATCACCCTTTTTCTGGATACACGGAGGCAAAATACGCTTGTTGGCATCAATCGATTCCGTTTTGGGATGTGCCCCGCCTAAGACTTTTATTTGGAATCGTGTTGGCAGTTTGAATGCGTCTGTGGCCTATACAATGATTGGCCAGCCTATGTATAAATCAGAGCTTTCCCCTTCCTAGACGAGTCTGACACCATTCGCCCGACTGCGAAGAGATGGAAGGATTGGTTGGCCTGAGCAGATGACAGTCCCGTTTTCGATCTTCGGGCCATACGTTTTAGTAGGCGCAACTGGACAGTACGCCATATCTTTTCGGATATTAGTTCCAGTTCAGTATTAGTTACCTCGGATGGCGCATTTATATGCTTTGCCAGTGGTGGAGTGACGAGTTCTGGTTGAATGATCCGAGGAGGTTCGACGGAAATAGCAACTGCCGGACTACTGCCAAAACGAGTGCTAGGCAGTTGTGAAGAGACAGAAGATCGTGATTCTGAAACGACTATTTGAACCGTATGATACTATAAAAGGGAAAAAGATTAACCAACAACAAAGCCTAGGAAGGAAAAGAACGAACGTTGACTTGGTGGTCTTGGCGGTAATATTCGCTCGGCTGGCCGCGTTTTCGTTTGGCAATATGGTGGTTGCTGTCCATCCAGTGGGCATGGCTGGATAGTTGGACCATCTGAAATCCTTCAATTTAGGCTTCGAGGCTTCCACTGTGCCTATAATTGTGCCCATTACCAATTCTGAATAGCCAAACTCCTGGCTGGCCAACGTTGCTGAGTTGGGTAAGCTGTTCGATGCCCTGTGTACCCGAGCCAGGTAGACTGACAGACGATGAGATGTCGTTAGTCATGATTGCTGCCTTGAATCAAAAGGAATTAACAGCTGAATAAAATAAAAAATAGTTGGCTCCTGGCCATTCGCGGAGCTTCTAGGAAACAGAGTGGCCTTACCTCAGCCCCTTCACCCCATTGCATATCCTTGTAGAGCATTTGAGCGAACGTCATTTTCTCTTGTTTGCTGTTTGTTCCGCCGATGAGCAACGTTTGGAAGGTGTTTCCTCTCTGGAATACGATGAGTACGGTCAAATGGATTGACGTCTAGATATGGCACGGTCTATCATGCAGCTTGACGATTCAATGAAAGTCTAAGCCCGATGGGAACTAGTAAAACTTGGGACCGGCTGTACAAGTGGCCAGAAAAGAAGTATCTCAAAAAACTGACAAGTAGGCGTATTTGGAAGCCATAGGGAAAGCTAGCTGTAGAATAGTAGGAAAGAAAATTTCAGTTCAAAATTCATTGGCAATTATCATCACCAGCAGATAGGAGGAATGACCGGAGACTCCAGCCATTGGCGATTACCATCACCACATGAGAGGGATGACCACATACTCCACTTTTTCACCGACTTCGAGACATGGGGATGAAGATGGAACGCCTTCGATAAAGACACGTACCTGGGCTCTGCCGTCGGTGACGTTCATGTACGTCACAATCAGAACGTTCTTGGCTTGGAATGTAGGCTCCTGGTAGTTCTCTTGAATGCTACGTGTGACGCGCGTCAATGTATCCGAGTCTAAACCAAGAAGATATAAGCCTCTCTCCATTTTCAACTAAATCCACTTTCATATTCTGCCTATTTTAGTCAAAAGGGAATTCCCTGAAGGCTTTCAGAGAAAATCCATATGGAAATGCCCTAGTAAACCACAAAATACAGATTGTAGAGGTGCTCACCGGTAACTTCAGCCACTGTGACATGCCCTCCCCGACTCGTGTCGATGGGAGCGAAGAATGGTGCCACTCCAGTCATATGCATATGTTCCAGACTATCTCCAAACGTTTTTGGCACATCCGTCAACGAAAGCAAGCCAGAAGTTGTCACCTACAAGTAAAATTTATAAGAAGGCAGTGTAGTAGTGAAGAGTATGGGAAGCTATCCTACCGTAATCTTGTCATACGTCTTTCCAAACAATTTCATTGGTGATTTGAGTTGCCATAAAACCTGAAATTTGAATGATCAGATCCAAATGTGGGGTTTACCAGAATTTTTCCAAATTTCATTGTGGATCATTAAGTACCTTGGACGTTTTACTCTTCGGCAGAGGTTGGTGGGAGTCAGATGGGAAAAGGAACGAAGCGACGCATTCCGTGACACCATCACCTGAAACGGGTTGAGCTGTTGATGTTCTCAGGAAGTCTAAGAAGATTCCGGGAAATCCTGGACTCGTGGCCCGTGATGCACAATAGATAACTACGACCGACTGAGCCTATCCAAGGACCTTTTGATCTAATATTATATTACCAGTCGGGCCGCCCGGCTAACGCCAGGCTTCCCTCCTTCTTGTGGGTTCGCCCGGCTACGCCGGGCGCTCCTTCTTCCTCTGAGAAATTTGCTATGCGTGAATAACACTTCGGATTCTCCTTTTGCTTTGAAAGCTCTACACCCTCAGTATTAGCTACGAATTAGGAGCGATTTTTTCTGTTAGCCAACCTCGCTGTGTCCGAAAGAACATCGTTTAACACCAAAAAGGCGATTATTAAGAGAAAAAAGTGTTCAGAGACTTCATCGCGGCTGAGGCTACTATGTTAGCTACCATCAATGTTCCTCAATGCCATCATCGAAGGCTCTCCTCCCTTTTGGGGCAAAGGGACTTTGATCGAAAAATATCTAGTTAAGGAAATTCCCCCTTTTTAATATGTTATTTCGCTGAGCGAGAGTATAGACTATCAAATGCCTTTGAAGTTGTACCTCCTTTTCTCTGCGGATACATCATTAAATGTGAACCCAACATTATTACCGGTCGGATAAATTTTGCTAGGAATGATTTCAAAGCAAAGAAAAACCGTGATCTGTTACTTAATCGCAAATTCTGCTGTTTAGCGGTCGTAATCTAATAGCAAGAAATGAACCAAATTCTTCTCCTTATAATCACACAACTTAACCTTCTTGTCGAATGAAACATATCAAAAAGTCAAAGCTAGATCGTAAATAAC